AGAAATTAAGGAAACAACCTCATTTATAATTGCACCAAAAAAACCCTAGGAATAAACTTAAAGAGGTGAAAGACCTGTACTTTTTTGAAGACTATAAAACATTGATGAAAGAAACTGAAGATGATGCAAACAAATGGAAAGACATTCCATGCTCATGGATTGGAAGGATTAATATTGTTAAAATGTCCATACTACCCAACACAATTTAAAGATTCAATGCAATCCCTATCAAAATACCAACAGCATTATTTCACAAAACTAGAACAAATAATACTAAAATTTGTATGGGACCACAAAAGAACCTGAATAGCCAAAGCAATCCTGAGAAAGAAGAACAAAGCTGGAGGTATCACAATCTCAGATTTTAAGATATACCACGAAGTTGTAGTAATCAAAACAGTGTGGCATTGGCACATAAATAGACACATAGATCAATGGAGCAAAACAGAGAGCCCAGAAATAAACCCCCACTTATATGGTCAGTTTATCTATGACAAAGGAGGCAAGAATATACAAGAGAAATACAGGCTTCCAATTATGGAATGAATACATCATGGGAATAAAAGGTATAGTATTAAAAAAAAGAAGAAGAAGAAACATCTAGAATAATGTTTGACCAAATATGTGGACACCATCCCTAGCCAAGTTGGCACATAAAATTAACTGTCATATGATGCTTGATAAATTATTGAATAGTTGACTGATTCATTAAAAAAAAGAGTTCAATTGGCAAAAAAAAAAAAGTTGTTTTCCTTGAATATGTGGCTGCGTCTATATAAAGACAAATATTGGCAGATTTGTTTATTAGGGATTAGGTCCCCCCATATAAGGCACTGAAAATAATAGCTCAGTTTGTGTGTAAGATTTGAAGGAATGTGTGTAGTATTTGAACACATAGTTTAGAATCAATACATGTCTCATTCAGTCATTAATTTGTATTCACTCATTTGTCTCTGTGTTGTTTATGCTTAACAACCCTCTGCAGGGAACAAATAGTCACTTGCATAAAATTTAGGTGCATAAAGCTCAGGAACATGAGTTTGACTCTACCAATTGCCAGTTGTATGGCCTTGGGCAAGTTGCTTAGCCTTTTTAAGCCTCACTTTATCAGTAAAATAGAGATATTAGCAGAATCTACATCATACAACTAGCATCATGCTTGGTACACTGGGAGAACTTAATCATAGCTGTAGATTATTGAGGATTATAGATTTTTAGGAATTAGTGATTATAGGTATCCAAGGAATTGAGGGCATGTTACTAACTCTAAAACCACATTGCAGAGACTTCTGACCATCCTATACTTTCTCTTGGCTTCAGTGATTTTATCTCCTTTGACTTAATCTCTTACACTTCTGGTGTCTTTACTGGTCCAAAATAGCCAAGCATGTTCATACACCCGGGTCACTGCCCTTGTTCTTTCTTCTGCCTAGAATGTTCCTCCTCATATCATTTGTAGCCTGCCTCTTTACATCATTTAGCTCTGCTGAAGTATCTTTTTTGAGAGGCTTTCCTTGAATACTTTATAGAACTCTATAATTCTCTTTTTCCCTGCTTTATTTTTTTTTTTTTAAGATTTTATTTATTTGACAGAGACAGAGCGAGAGAGGGAACACAAGCAGAGGGAGTAGGAGAGGGAGAGGCAGGCTTCCCGCGGAGCGGGGAGCCCGATGCGGGGCTCGATCCCAGGACCCTGGGATCATGACCTGAGCCGAAGGCAGACGCTTAACCGACTGAGCCACCCAGGCGCCCCCTCCCTGCTTTATTTTTATATATAGCATTTATTGCTGTTTAAGATCTTACGATAGATATATTTATCTATCTCTCCAATTAAAATGCAGTTTTCATGAGTGCAGGAAATTTGTCATTTTGTTCACCAACAAATCCTCAAACTCTGGTACACTATTGACTAGAATATATCAAGACAGCCAGTAAATATTTATTGAATGAATGAACGTTAGGTTTGATGAATGCTTCTAGCTCTAAATTCTGATTCTACTGACTTGTAAGTACTGTCTTGCTTCTCGGTTTAAAGGAAAAAAGGTCTCAGAAGTCACTGGACACATATAGAATGTAAAAGGGCTTATATATTGCCAACTCTTTATAACTTTGAAAGGTAATGGTAGGAGACTGGGGCACTGTGTCCTCCACCCTGCTGTTTTCCTTATAAAAATATTTTCTGGGTACTTTCTAGGAGCCAAAACTGGTGCTGGGGTTATAAAGATTAGAAGGATATGAGTCCTATACCTACCTCCTTCTGTTATCCAGAGATTACTTCTTTGCTGATACATTCTTTGTACCACTCATTTGGCACTTAATACATCATTGTCTTTACTCTTTATTTATTTCCCACACAAAATATTTTCATGTTTTATTATTCTTTATACTAAAAGCAACCTAGTGAATAAGAACTATATTTTATACCTTTTTCTTAGAAAAATTATCCACAGCACTAAAGACAGTAATATTTATTGGTTGCTCTTAATGATGGCATCTAAGAAAATCAAACACCACATTCTAATATATTAATTTGAAGCATTAAATTTATGAATCTCTTCATTACCATGAAATACACTTTTCCCTTGCCTTTAATTCCTTGAGAATAGAATTTAAGATTAACAGAAAAAAATATTACTTATTTCCTCATAGTGTAATCAAATGGTATGCATCATTAGAGATTAAAAAAGGTTTTTCAGCCTTGGAAGGCCATAGGTAGGTAGTTTACATACCTCACTGAAAAGGATTCTTAGAACCCACAGCTCTTCATTCTTCACTGTGTTCTTGATACTAAAAGAGACCTAATGACACCCACTCTTGGGACAGTTTACCTTGTGGTTCTTCTCAAAGCAGTGTGATTGAGACACAAGTGCCAACGTTTGGTATTTAGAGGTGAGACAAAGCAGGTTATGTGATAAAATAAGAGGATACTGAAAACAACAACAACGACAAAACTTAGGAATGTTGTAAGGATAAATAACACAACTTAAGAACACTTTGGTTTTAAAATAGGTTTTCAAAAGGGGATTTAGAAAATTTCACAAGTTGGGTCCTTTGGGAGGGTTATAAAAGGTGGGTGACTTTATTTTTCTTTCTTCATTCCCTTGGGACCACTCCCCCCAGAATGGCACAAAGCGCTACTGATTCTCTTCATTCAGCCTGTGATTGTAAAGACGAAAACAACCAACCCAGTTCTCTGCCTAGTTGCAACTATGAGCCACATATTGTCAGATGACACAAAAGCATTCCTATGTTAGGCAACTCATCCATACTTATCAGAGAACAATGATCAGGCTAGCTGCTCTGCTTTCTGCTGTCCTAGTTATATTTATCCTGAAGAAAACAAAGGAGAGTAGTAATTTAAAAATCAGATTATGAGGTTTGAAAAACTTCGGACTGAATGTCACTCTCATATTGTGTGTATTTTACAATTTTAAATAGTTAATTAAATTATTTGAAAGGAAGTGAGTGGTGTGCATATAAGCTATTTTAATTATTTTAGAAGTAGTCTTTAAAATTAAAATAGGGTGGGGAGCCTAGGTGGCTCAGTTGGTTGAGCATCTGACTCTTGGTTTTGGCTCAGGTTGTGATCCCATGGATCCTGGGATGGAGACCTGCCTCAGGCTCCACACTCAGTAGGGAGTCTGCTTGGAGACTCTTTCCCACTGCCCCTCCCTCCTCTCTCTCAAATAAATAAATAAATCTTTAAAAAAAATTAAAAGGGCACTATAATGCTACACTTTTTGATGGTTTTATGAGAGACTATGACTAAAGGTTCAACCAAAAGAAACAAGCTATAAGGTTAAAAAATTAAATGTACTTTAAACCCTTGAAATAACAGATAAGAACTTTTACAGCAGGAGTTCCTGGACCTGTCAACTGGAATTTAATGCTGCTTTTGGGAATCCACTCATCTACTCTGCTAAGGAATTTCCAGTATCCCTGAAGACCTAACAACGAGAGACATAAACATTTAGGCTCTCTCTAAACTCAGTAGTCTTTCACAAGTGAGGGAAAATAAAAAGTAGTAAGTTTTCACAAAAAGGTAGGGATGTATTATTTGAAATAGTAGGCTCCCAAATTGTATTCTTAATAATTTAAGATTCTATGGATTGCTTCAGGAGTTCAGTAAATGTACAGCTTAAATTTCATTTTAAGATTTCATTTCAAAAATTGTGATTGTAAATATGGACATGAAAACTCATATGCCAATTTTAGCATATAAGAAACCACTAATCTATTAACCCTCATTTTCATAGAACTCTCATTTATAGTTAGTAAATGATATAAATATTAACTTACGAAGAAAATCGCTTAAAATTTCTTCATTTATATTTTACTAAATGAATTTCTAAGAAAGAATTTACTTTAAAGGGAGTTACCCTGTTAAAAAAATTTTGAAATCATTTACCTATATTCTAGAGTACAGAGAATCGAGGCATGCTTCATGAGAATCTGACAGATGAAGATATAAGTAGAAAGATTAAACTGCTACTATTTTGTAACTGTTCCTACTTCAATGCCAAGCAAAATCCCAAGAAGTTAAGGTATATTTAATAGTAAAATGTCAGTAAAAAATACTTTAATATATTCTCTAAAGACAATATTTTGAAAATTGTAATAAATATAAGCTCAAAGTTGAGATCTGTCAATCTCTCTTTCTAGGCTACAAAATAGACCAGTTAAATGGTCTTCATCTTTGCCAAAATTTTATCTATAGCAAGAAGGATTCAAATACCCTCAAGAATAGCAATATACGCTAGAGAAACACAAAAACCAAGAAAATGTCCCAATATTCTCGTGTTATCTGGAAACCATTTTAAGGTCATGCAATGTTATATCATGCAAGTCTATTCTGGCATTTTGTTTGAGAGTTATTTAGCTATTTGAATTCAGAGGAATCCCAGATATGTTCATTGTTTTTGCCACACACCCTTAAAATGGAAAGGAAACAGTATGAGTAAGGCACTACCATCCTTTAAAACCACATATGTAAAGGATACTCTTCACTATTCCGGATGTCAACTACCAGGAGCTTTGGTTTACTGGACTTTGTCTTCTTGGTGGGTGTTTTGAAATGGCCTGTCACTGTGAGTTCACACAAGTCAATCAGGTCCTCTGCTGAAATCCGGGGTGATACTTCTGACTTTAGGTCATTTAATGGGATAGATTCTCTTGACTGAAAAAAATATACAAACAACACAAATATTGAGAATAATACAGAGAGAAAAACTATAGCCAATATAGAATATCTGTAGGCTCTTGATATCAATCATTATAGCATATAGGAGAACAGGAAACTGAATCTCACTTTAGTGGTCTACTGTGTAACTGTATTCTTTACTATTGAGGTTTACTTACTCACAGAGGAAAGCATTCTTTTGGTTCACTACAAGCTCCTGGCTCAAAACTCTGGTAATATAAGAAATTGCATTGTAACTCAGTATACATACCAATTAAAGAACCTGGTTCTAATATACATATTAGACTTTTATAACATAATTTATGTCACATATGGATAGTTGAGCAGAAATTAGATTTTCAGAGATGAATGCAGAGCAACATAACACTTTCTTAGATAGTAAACAAAAATGACAATGTATCTTAATTGTGAAGGAGGTAAAATCAGACTCCAGACAATCAAACCAGTACTTTGGTCTATGTGACTATTATATGGTGTAAGATTGATTCAGATTAAGGGCTATTTACAACTGTTCTCCACGTTATTTAGTAGGGAGAGGGAATTTCCTCCCCCCATAAAAGGCAATGCAATACGACTCAACTCAATTCAACCTAAATTTATGGAGCACTAGTAGTCACTCTTGAAAACTTATTTAACATAACTTGAGAATTTAAGAACTTTCAAAATTCACTTGATTGAGAACATAGGGATTCAAAAGAAAAAATGTATTTATATGCTTAAGTTTTCAAAACTGAGTCTATTATCTCATTTACTTGTTTTCTCTGTTTTCACAATTCTGTTGTGGGATACCACATTTAGAATTTCCAATTTAGAATTTCTAGGCAGAAGAGAATAAAGCATATGGATCATTTGTCAGATTTTTTAAAAAAGCTTTTATTTAAATTCCAGTTAATTAACATACAGCGTAATATTAGTTTCAGGTGTAGAATATAGTGCTTCAACACTTCTATACAACACCCAGTGCTCATCACTACAAGTGCACTCCTTAATCCCCATCACCTATTTAACCCATCTTTTGCTTCCCCCCACACACCCTGCACTGTAACCATCAATTCAGACAGACTTATTTTGAAAAAAATTTGTTTTTGGTTGTAGTTTCAATGTCAGCTCTCATCCCTTGGGTTTCCCTGACTATGCTGTAAATTCTTTAGTGGTGAAGTACATTTTCTCCCACTTCATTAACTTTTAAATAGAAATGGAAATTGCTAAGCTTTGTGGGTTTATGGCTCTTAATAAAAGATAGACATTAGAAATTTTAATTTTTTAATGTAAAGAATTAAATCTACTTAAATATTCCGAAATTAAAAATGTTTCAGAAAGATAAAAGAACTTTAAAATCAGCTGGCCATACAATCAATGCTTCCATCTCCTTTTTTGTTAGATTGCAATCTCAATAAGTATTTTTCCCAGGCTTCACACGAAATCGTACATTCATGAAGATAAAATAAAGAACTTTTGATTATCCTAGTTCTGCTTTTAGTCATTTAGTGATGAATGAGGCATTTCAAACAGAGGTTTCATCTGAATGAAAGATGTGCCCTGCCTGATGAAGAAGAGAATTATTTGACCAGAGTATTCTCTATGAAGAATTGATTTAAGAAAGATCTGACCTTGGCATTGGTTCCAATCAAATGTAACATATATAAGGAGTTTCTCAAAGGAAAGAGCAATTATTACATGAAATGGTAAGAGCAGAAGAGAAGAGAGGAATCACTGACAAATTCATAACTTTCTGAACTTTGTGAGTGTATATAAATGAAGAACATGACACATGCAAATTCCTCTGTGAATTAATTTTAAGAGATTAGTAAATTAGATTTAGGACAAATTATATTACTTTGCTTTATGAAGAAAATAATTATGATACTAAAAATTACAGAATCTAGTTTCTTTTTATTAAGACAATTTTATATGCAATTTTACTATCCGTTGTATAATTTCCACTTAGAGGTACAAAAATAAAACTTCCTCTATACAACTTTTGTTTCACTTAGTGCTACTGACATTGGCATTTTCCTTTGTGACTGGGTTTCAAACTCATGGGACTTTGTTTATGGACAGTGGACGACAATTTATTTATTTATTTAAAGATTTTATTTATTTATTTGAGAGAGAGACAGAGATAGTGAGAGAGAGCACAAGTGGGGAAGAGAGGGAGAAGCAGGCTCCCCGCTGAGCAGGGAGCCAGACCCGGGGCTCGATCCCAAGACCCCGGGATCTTGACCTGAGCTGAAGGCAGACGCTTAACCGAATGAGCCATGCAGGCGCCCCAAAAGTGGACAAAAAATTTAAAATAACTATAGAACAATTCTGGAAATACCTATTAGTTTATCATTTCTGCCCAAGAACCTATATATACAATACATATTAAGCCTAGACATCCAAATATCACAAGCCAATATGTCTGGGAGCTACTCCTTTTAAAAATATTCATATTTTATAGCCAACCTAGAGTCAGAGTTTTTGTTGTTGTTTTGTTTTGTTTGCAAGTCTTTAAGGTTTACTGAATGGGTGGGTAGAGAGGAAAGTGATGAGAAGCTGCAATTCAAGAGAAAAAATCTTGGTCATTAAAATCATTCCAGGCATAGCAGAGGGACATGGGGCTGGCCTTCCCTGTCCATGGCCTCTCAGGATACTGTTGTCAGCCAGCTGAAGTGGACCCGGCCCCAGCCTCAGTGCCTTCCCTCTGATCTCCTATGTGAAGAGCTGATCCATGATGCTCTGAGTGGAGAGCAGGAGGCACTCTCGGGATGCTTCATGTGGGGATTCCTTCTCCATTCTCTGCTCCTCTGGTGTTCACAAATACCACCAAGAGAATCTTGGGGAGAAACATCAGCAAACCCAAGGGTCACTGACTCATGGCCTTGGGACTTACTTCAATAGCCTCTGGATCTAAGACTGACCTTGGGGCCCCATGGCCTAATGCCTGGCTGATAAGATGATACCTCTCATGGAACCTCTGCACATGCAGACCCACCTGGGACCTCCTGATCCAGGTTCTTCCTGAGGTTACCTCTCACATACATGGAACAGCAGTCATGAGATACTCCTGCAGGGGACAAGAAGCACTTGGCACTGCTTACATGCCCAAGAAACTGTTATATTCACAGGAGTTAAACACTGGGAAAATCCTGGTCTTAGGAGGTGAATGCACTGAAAGCCTGCCTCCCTCCATCTACCTTGTGCTCAGTCACCCAAGGCTGTCCCATTTGGAAACCTCTGAACATAAAGAAAACCTTGTAACTTTTCCTTCACCTGCAGACCAGAACATAGGCAGCCTGTAATCACCTCAAATGCAGGGGCAGAAAAGGACATAGGGCTGCTGAAATTAAGAGATCAGTGTCAGAGGACCACAGTTGTGTTCCACAACCAACTCAGACATGCACTGAGGCAGGACCCACTCTTGTTCTCCCTTTTTAAAGCCTCATAGAAACCACACTGAGCCAGGCAAAGAGAGAATGCAATAAGACAACACCTAAAAGGTGGTGGAGAGGAGGAAGTGTGGGAAAGCTCCAGAGTTTGGAAGGCACAGGAATGGACCCTCCAAACACTGGGAAGCGCTTTCAGCAACTCCTCTCCCTGCAATATCAATGACCAGGACACAGAGAAACCATGATCACTTTTGAATGTGGATGGAGTCAGAATTTACTTAGCAGTGTCACTGAAAAAGAAATCATCTTTCAGTAGAGTGGGCTCTCTGAAATGACTATCTGGATATATTAGTTATAATCCTAACTAAGCAAGGAAAAATCTAAACCTGGTAACAAGACAGGCATTTTGCTGTGTACATTAAAGTATCGTAAAGTACATAAAGTACAGTAAAGTATAATGTACATAAAGTACATTAATGACTTGGTCATGATACCTGAGAATCTGAAATGGTAGACTTTAATGAGCGTATGTCTGTATACCCTTAAGTTGAGTATGTAACCAGCAACCATAAGGGTATAACTGTATACACTTATGTTTTATATGTAAGGGCTCTTAAATAACTATAAAGGCATTTTAAGTGTGAGAATACAGGGCTGGTATCTAGAACACTCCTTCCATATTTCCTGTCATGGATTCTGGCACTAACTTTAACCTGGTTAAAAAGATAGAAATATGGAAATAAGCACAGATACTTTGTTCTTCCTTATTCCTCATTCCAGTCTAACGTATCCCCAAGTTCCACCAAAATACCTCTTGAATATGTTGATCCATTGCCCTGTCTCAAGGATTCATCATATCTTACATGGACTCTAGAAGCTGTTTGCCTCTCTCTCTCTATCCCCCTTTTCTCTACTTCCCTGTTACCTAGTCATTCCTTCTAATTCATCTTCCAAATACCATTTGAGTTAAAAATAAAAATCTGATCATGTCACTTTTATAATTAAAAAAACCTCAATGGCTTCCAGACATTGATGGAATGAACTCAGAATTCCTTAGTATAGCATGTAAAGCCCTTTATGAATTAAACCCTGTCTATAGGCAGGAGACCATAAACCTCGGAGTTAGATTACCTGGATTCAAATCTTGGCCACCCCACTTATTAGTATGTGTCTTTGGGTGTGATATTTAACTTCTCTGTCCAAGTCCTTTATCTATAAAGTGGGGAAAAGGTACCAAACACATTTTTCCCCCAAATAATTCTATCTCACTTTAAAAGGGAATCTATATGATATAATAACCATTCCAAGGCAAAGAAAACATTAAAGTGCCCCAGGATATTTTTATTAAGCTGCCTTAACCTAATACTTAAATCTGACAAAGAAGCACTAAACACACACACACATAATATTTTTTATGACTAAAGATTTTTTTTTTTAATCTCAAAACTAGAAAACTGATGCAGTACCAATTTGAAAGAATGACATACTATAACCAAGTAGGGGCATGTTCCAGGAAGGGTGGCTCAATATTAGGACAATTTTTTAAATAATTCATCACCTTTCATTAGGCAAAGGACAAAAAGTATGTAACATCACTACAACTGA